ATGGCTCGAAAGAGATGAAAGGAGAGTCATCATATTATATATGCACCAAATATAGCTTATTCCTAAATTCAGCACATATAAATTCCTTTTACTTTACGAAGAATGACATTGGTCCTCGTTTTAAAATATGCTCGGACGAATTTCTCTTTGAATTCCCGTTTTTCTTCATAAAAATGTTATTCCACAAATTTTTATCCATTTAATTTCGTCAAGAAAAGTTTCTCTTTAGTAGAAATAATAAAGAAATTCATCTCTCTTATGAGTCATTTAGAAAATGCGAATTAAAACTTCTATCTGATTATTTGTTTTGGATTATCCTCTCTAAATAGTGTCTATTAATATAATATTTAGTATTCTACAAGCAAATCATCAAGCAACGATCAAGCGTAGAACGAACGAGAAACATGTGAATTCAAAATTTTATTAACTTATAACAAAAATGTAAGTCTCGCAAAGTTCCAGATAAAACAATTTCTACATTTGTGAGAGGATAGTTCAATAAATAATATTTATAATAAAGTGGAATTCGTGAGATTTAAAAGAAAGAAATTCTTTGAGCGCTTTTTTTAAAAATAAAATATGTCTTATTTAAATATCATGTAAATCTGGGATATGTCCACATGCAGCGATCATATTGATTTGTATGACAATGCTTAAAAAAGAAATTGGCACCTTCCTATTTTTTCCACGAAGTTAGTCTCTGAAACTGTACCACAATATGGATATTTATTTTCCATCGAATGTGATCGTCTTTATTGTTAAAATAACAAAAACAAAATTAATCTGGGTTAATGAGAGGAGATACGCTATAAAATTTTAACAAATAAATTTGTTACTCCATTTGATGTCTTCTTTATTTAAAATCTTGAGAAATCATTGACCGTTTCGATTCTTTTTGGAATTTTCTTCAGCAATATTCTTAATCCATATTAGATTTCGCGAACAGTCAAGATAGAGGAACTCACAGGTTTCCAAAACTGTAGTGTAATCCACGTGAAAAAATGTATTAATGCTAAATGCATAGATGAGATACATTGTATATTTAATTTATTTCGTTCGAATACCTACATGAATGGAAACGAGAACGTGAATACGCAAGTAGTGAGACAGGACGACAGCATGGCTCCTGTTTGAATGCTCATACCAGATAACTTAAATATAAAAACAAAGAAAGAAAACAACGAAAATAAAAAAAAAAACAAAAAAAATTATCTAAAATTATATTAAAAAAGCAGTGAGAATATAAAGTATGTGGTAAGCAATTATGATAATTATTTTAGAATTTATGGATAAATCCGGCAAGAAGAATATCAGCTTGGACAAAACGTGTATTGCGTGATAGCATTACAGGAATACGAGAGCACTTGATATGATGGAGCAATTTTGAAAATGTTCGCATACCTCTATGAACTATCGAAAGGGCTTTTCCGTACATCTGCATTATTATACATAACGAGTAAGCGTGATGTTATATTGCAAGTCGATCGATACGAATGGTACGCGAGCGAGCATTCATCCCTCTGTGTGTCAGTCGCTCCTGTCGTTGCTGTCTCCGCCGCACACCCTCGCTCTGTTGTCGCAGCAACAGCCACCGCCGCCGCCGCCGCTGGCATCCCTCTTCCGCTTTCCCTTTCGACGGCCTCGGACGAGTGCGAGAACGCGAACAGAGGGGTGCTGAAAACCCCTTTAAAGCTTTAACGCGACCGACCGACCGACCCATCAGTCGTTAACGCGTGCACGTGCCAGCAAATGTTCGCGAGAGACTTCTGCGTCAGCTCTCGCTCGTTAAACCGCTATCAAATTGTCATAAAAATTCATATTGACAGAAACGCTCTTAACTTTGGTCCGGAACTGCGGCCGAGGATCTTTGCGTTTGAAAACAAAATCGATGAAACAAAGAATTTGTCACCAAAATTTCCTGGTTTTTTTATTATAATAAAAAATATATAAAATTACATTCTTATTCATACTTTAAAACTTTTAAAGTGAATCTTACTCTGAGAAGTAAAATATCGCTCTCAAAGATTGAATTTCAGCCAGTTCTTTTTCAAGGACTAACTCAATTTTCATTCTTTCGAGTGAGATTCCAATCCAAAGAATTTAGAGAGTATATAATATGTATTATATGTAATTGTGAATATGTTATTCTTATATAATTAACTTAGAACACGTGATGATTTCCCGATCGTACTGCACACAATTTCCGTGTTTCTATGTACACCGCCAGTGTATTGAAAATCTATAATTCACGTAATGCTATAGATTTTTAATCCTAGCAGTGTATATCGGAACACAATCCAAATATCGTTCGTATCTCAGGTTAATTTTCATTACTCTTACATCAAATACGCAAAAATTATCAAGGCATGTGTATATATTTAATATTTTTGGAAAGATTTGCAAAGTTATGTATTTAAAAAAAGGGAAAGAATAATGTCAAGTGCTCCTAGTATTTCAAAGAAAAGAAGTATGTAGGACACGAATGGCCGTCAGAATGATCGAATCGTATGTATATTAAGGATTACTAAGATTTTTGGAAATTATGTCCGCCAATATTTCATCCATTGATTAAATTCGACAATCGAAACAAGAGCTTGTAGTAAGTTTGCGGCAAAAATTAATGTTTTCAAACACATTTTTGAAACACTGCGCAGCACGCTTGGAAATGTATTTGTTTCTATTTCATAAAAAAGAGAAACACATAATAGGAAAATATTCAATATAAGCCAGCGCTACTGTTAATGTATTGAAAATGCGAAATATCTATAAATTTGATCATAAACATCGTGGTATTGTGCGTATTTCTGGATATACGCGACGGTGGCTTTCACGATCGTCACAGCACACCCGATCGATCTATTTCGATCCACGGCCAATTGGACGGATGTGCGAACCGAAGACGCAACGCGGGAACGAAAATGTATGTATGTTTGAAAAGGAAAGCGCGCGAGTCGCGAGTGCGTTCGCACATGCGATCTCGTTCCTTTTGCCGTGCTTGTCGGCACTTGAAAAGCTCGCATGACCTTCTCTGTTTTACTTCACGAGGTGTGCACGAACCATGCCATCCTGTGGGTACCGCCAACTGTCACGACGTGACGTTTCTCGGCCCGCCTCTTACGAGCGTCTCGTACGCGTGCATGCGTGCGTGCATGCGTGCGTGCATGCATGCGTGCGTGCGTGAGCAGATGTTTTAAACCGGATTCACGAAGGGAACGAGCGAAGAAATTTTTACTGGAAAGAGAGAAAACGATTGAGCTCGGCTAATCGAGCACACAATTATCCGAATTACACAGAATCTGAGATTATATTGCAGAATTTAGAATCACGCACACAGATGGTAAGAAAACGATAATTAGTTTAAATTGTAGTTGACTCTAAATAACTCTCCTGTCCATTTCTACAAATGTAGATCAATTATCATCTCGGTTTAACTTACTTTTTACTTCCTTCTAGTTTTAAGAATTAAAATTGATCTACATCAGTAGAAACGGGTCTTAGAGGAAACCTAATAAAAGATTGTCAAAGTTACTTGCATATTTCATGAATTCATGACTGTTGACGTTATGAACTTCATAGCGCTCGCGGTTCAAGATTAATTTATTCTTACAAATCAATATACCTATGTATGCGCTCATATATTATTCGAAATTAATTTTGCGAAAAATATCTTTGTTTTCCTTTCCAATAAAATTCATATTTATCAATGCACGTGTTCATTTTGCGTATGTATTGGTAATTTTTGTTTAAAGCAATACGTGCGCATTTCGTAACGGCAACGCATCACGAATCAAAGTATTTCGAGTATCCGTTCGATTGTATGAATAATCAACATCACAGAGGAATTAATCCTGCGGATATAATGATATGATTTATATGCAATTATTTACGTGAACCGAATGCAACGGCGCGGCACAGCAATAACATCTATATCCACGTATGACGAGCTCTCTCCTGATCGAATGGTCGAGCAATTTCATTTTCTGTACTAATTTATTCATGATCATATAGTGGAGGGCTCTCGATCGCAACCCTTTTTCTCGGCGCCAGATAAGAGCAGTCACCACATGTTTACGTTTTATGCGTCACAATCAAACAAAATTTCGAACCTTTCTTTTTTCTTTGCTCTCGAAACATTTGTGATGAAATAATCGCAGAGAATGCATTACAGATGTTTGATATTAATACTTCCAAATATTGATATTTTTTAGGAAAAAGGTCTAGTCTATATCGATAATTGCCTCCTCTTGCAAGCACGTATTGATACTTTTGTACGATTATTATTGATGCAATTGCATCTTATCAGAAGTAATTACACTGAATACTATTTAAAGTCTGAAACACAATTAAAAACATAGACAATAAAAACAGGGAATAATCAATAGGTAATCTGTTGTTTTCTGTTTCTACATTTGTGTTTTTCAATTGTGTTTTTAATGGAGAAATTTTTCATTTTGTACGTTTTCATCTTAGTGGAAAAAAGTTACATCTCTCGTTAGTACTCTAGTTTTGATGAATACATCATTAAGTTATCTATTGATATAACTAAAAATATTGGACATCTCCCAAATTGCATTAAAAGAGATGCTTTCCCTCTTCTAACGAAAATTCGCGAAGAAAGGAATTTTCGCTGGAAGTAAGAGAAAACGATTGAATTCGACTCTAATTGAAGTTTACCTGAGACACAATTATTAGAATTATACAGAAGATTTGAGATGATTATATTACTGAATTTAAGAAATATCTCACGATTTGTTAAATCGCATATCATTATTAAACGATAATTCCGAGGACGTTCAATAACGTTCAGCTATACTATTATAATGCTTTTAAAAATATTCATAGTCATTCTTTTTTATTTATACATAGAAAGTAGAACGATAATAATGTCGTTGCATTTTGCGTAGATCAACAATATTAGCAGCTTTGTAACGACGTTTTTGCATAATGATAGTTATCTTGCGCTTCAAGGGTGTAAATATGAATACACATCGATTTTGCAGATGCTGTCGGTGAGCCAAGGAATGGAGGTCGGCAGCAGCGGACGCGGTGCATCGGCGGAAGATGACCCAACCGCTGGTGCGGTCAGCGGTGGAGTCGGTGGCGGCGGCGGTGGCGACGGCGACGATACCAGAAGGCGTCGAGATATACAGGCGGTGATGATCGCCGCGGCGAGGGATCGCGCGATCCGCACGGAGAGCGTCCGGCATGATCTTGCTCTCAATCTGCCGCCGAGACTTGAGCTCCCGGACGGCGAGGAGCAGCCATACGGGGCGCACCCGGATCTTCACCTTCGCAACCCGGAACAGGTAAGAGAAAAACGCGGAAAGTTGGGGCGCCTCGCGAAATTCGAATAAAATCGCGAATAAAATCATCGAACTTGACCTGATGGGTGAATGGATCGAGGATTCGAATTGCGTTCGAATAGGGGGTTTATTCTTGATTCTATATTGTACATGAAAATCTGTAATATACGTAACGTATCATATACTATAGGATTTCGTATACGATATTTTCTAAAAATAATCCTCCCAGATCTTTCTCTTTGTTTTTCCTATATAATTTTTTTCTTACTTTCTTTGTATTTATTGATGCTTTTTATTTTGTTTTTCTCTTTATTCTTAGAGGGCTTGCCCTAGAACGTTAATAAACGTTATTTATCTTCTCTCTTTTTTTCAGTGTTTCTGTTTACGACTGGTTTCTCCAGAATTCGTACTTACTTTTATTTTTTAGCGTTACAGTACATTTCTCAAAAATGCAAAGATGTCAATATTATTGTTCTTAACAATGATGTAGTATTCTCTAAATCATGATTAATGACTTGATTGTCATATTCTCGTTTTTACTGCAAATACATGTAACGCTGTAAGATTATATGTACGTGTCGACATATGTATGTATATATTTATGTCCATTGCTTCCAGTCGGGAGAATGACCGAAAAAACACATTTATTTATTCACTTCCTGTCCCTCCGCGAATTCTCAGGTTCAAGTACTCATTATGCCTCGTCATCATTACGCAAGCAAGAATATTAAACTTCAAACCGCTTGAAGCACTTAAGGCTACCGCAATCACCGCTATTGCAATACAGATTTACATTCTGGAAATTATGGTTTAAAAATATACGAAACAGGAGAGTAAAAAAATAGTATTTTAATTCTTTAAAATTGGCCACTCAATTTTAAATTATAAATTTGACATTCAAAATACCTATGTAAAGTATCTTGATGTTATGAATGAAAAAATAAAGAAATTTCTTGATTCTCTTTAAAATATTAATTTTTTTTGAATGAATATATCACAATTTTATTGAGTAAATCTTGTATTCGTGCATTCGATAATCAATGTTGTCGAATTACGATATCGAAGTTTAAACTCAATTATCAAAGACTTCGCTCGGATATTCTGCCGTTTTATTTTTCGTATGCTTGACTATAACGAATTTTCTTGTTTTCAGGAGAGCGAAATTTATCAGAAATGCGTGCGAGCGCCGCCAAATCGCACTGTGTTCGATAGCGAGAGTCCGCCGCCTTATCGGACGCCAAGTAGCAGCCAGCATCTCCACCCGGGACTGCTCGATATGCCTGGCGATCGGGTGACGCGGAGTCAGAGTCCCAGCAGCAGCAATTTGTTGTTGAATACCGCACGCTCGATGTTCAAGATGTTCCCGAGCCACACGACGCCATCGTCGACGTCAATGCCGGTCAACAAACCGCCCTTTTCCAGTTATTCCGAGTCCAGTAGTAACGTGAGCAGTAATCTGAGCAGTAGCAATCTGTCCAACATCACCGTGGTGCCCTGCGAAACCGACGAAAGCCGGCAAGAGCAGCAGCAGCAGCAGCAGCAGCAGCAGCAGCAGCAGCAGCAGCAGCATCAGCAGCAGCAGCAACAGCAGCAACAGCAACCCCAGCAGCAGCAATTCCATCAGAAGGTCTGATCCGCGGCGTCCTCCTTCCTTGACGCCGTTGTCGTCATTGTCGCAGCTGCATCGTCCGATTTCGAGAACGAGCGATGGTACTAAAGATCGTTTTGCGCGACTGCAACGACAACGACGACGCCCTTCAAGACTGACTCACGGGAGAAACTTCAACATAGGATAAATTCCATTGGTCACGTTCCATCATGTTCAGCAACGTGTATTACATATACACGAGAGAATATAATATCCTCCCGGCCAGTGGTATCCTCGTTGAATCGTTCTTCCGGCGTTCTTCTATAATGAGAGAGAGAGCGAGAGAGAGCGAGAGAGAGAGAGAGAGAGAGAGAGAGAGAGAGAGAGAGAGAGAGAAAGAGAGAGAGAGAGAAAGAGAGAGTCGTCCGTTCGTGGCCTAAAGGAGGGCCGGCGGAAGTGTAAAAAAAGCCGGCTCCTGGTAATGACTGTAAAGTCAAATCAGTTATCAAGACTGCGCTCAATCGCCGTGCGTTGGTTCGCGCTTGTCCTCTTTTTTTCGACCAGGAAGATCGATGCGCCGTCGCCGCCGCCGTTGTTGACGCGTCTCATTGTGCAATTCCACACGCGGCCAGTGTCTAGCCTAGATCTCAGATTATTTCAAAGCGGTAGCATGAGGATTACGATGTTGCGTCGGACGTGAAGAGGATGGAAGGAGAGTTAGAATGGACGGAGCGATCGAAGCTCGGCATGGAAAATAGCGTTACCAACGCGCGACGTGAAGCGATGGCCTACCGTGGAACGAGGGACTTCCTGTCCGGGAATTAGACGGTGAAAAGCTTTACTTCGAAGAGAAACGGATGCGAGGTTATCGCGACTCGCGCGATACCGATTCGACAACGAAGCAAGAACCGCCGGTCACCCTCTTCCAGCTCTCGATCGGAGGCTTGATCGTCGGACATCGCGGAAGTTTGTTCATCGCGACGAAGACTTAGTAAATTATTTATTATCGATATAACATTTTATTCGCGACGGGCGGCTGCTGCGCGACGGCCGGACGGGGCAAGTGTGGTTTCACGCGATGGTGGTTGTGGAGAAAAGGAAAAAAAGAAAAAAAACGAACGAACGGGACACGAATTGTATGAGCGAATTCGTTCGGTTGCGTGAGTGCGAGACCAGGCGTGCGTATGAGTAAATGCAAGCGCGCGTGTGCGGAACGAGTAGAACGAAAGACGCGCAAGAGGCACGGCTAATTGTGGGGTTGAGAGGGGAAAAAAGAAAGAAAAAAAAAAAGACAGAGAAAGAACGGAACCCGCGCGCGCGCTCGCGCGTGTTTGTGTATGCATGTGAGGAGTTGTGTAGGGGAATAATGTAGTGCCAAGAGTGAAAACGGGAACTCTGTACATATTAGGCTAGGTAGTTCAATATCAATATACTTATTACGACTAAAAAAAAAAAACGATATGCTACATACCGATTTAAAAGTAAAACATCAAACATACATTACAAACACGCATACCATTAAAAACACGAAATGGCCGGCCGTACGAAACTATAATGGGACGCGCACACACCTCCGACAAATGTATATTGTTCTGGCAAACGTCAAAGTTGAATATGTTCTACCTCGAATGCTATATGTACTTGAAGCAATCAATAACGTTGAATCTTTTCCGGCATAGAGATTAGAAATAATTATAAGGAAAATTAATCGATCTCTTTATTTTAAAGATTATGTGTTCGTAATTATATGTTCAACTGTAATCATAAGTAGCAAATCAATGTACTGATACTTTTAATTTAAAAATTTTTGAAAGAGTTAGAACAAATGGTCATTTGTTATCGTTACATTGTGTAGTTTTTATAAATATATAATACAAAGTAAAATTTTCGAAATTTCTTACAATTCAAATAGTTATAATGAAAAGAATTAATGGTTTCTTCAATTGCACTGTATATGTGTTCTTTCTCTTTGGATTAGAATTATCTACAAAGGAAACATAAATGCGACTATCTGGCGCGGTTGTATATCGATATTTCTAATTGACTGACTTTTTCTTTAAGCAGTTGCCTATCTCTTACTAAAACTGGAGGCATACGATGCGATTTTGCATGCAATCTAATAAATTCCTAGAAATTCTGCGTTCTGGATAAACAATCATGTAACTTTGTCTAGGGCGGAAACGTGAAAAATGAAATTTTTCGTTTGATATTACATACTATTTTGTTTGATATACATTGAAGGGCGTTTTCCAGCAAGGACATAGTATAATGCAGTGAATCATTATATCCTTCACTGTATTACATTGTATCCTTATTGGAAAACGTCCGAAATAAAGAAATTTTGCATTTTTCAGATTTTCGCTCTTGTGAAAAAGTTACGTGATTGATGTACCTATGTGGTACAATTCTAGTATTGTAATTTATTAAATTGCATGTAATGTAGTACAAAGAATCACATCGTGTACCTCTGGCTTGAGTTATTCGTGTAAATATAACAAAAAGAAGGGAAATTTAGTTCATCAACTCATATTGAGTTAAATCCAATCGACGTTAATGCAACCGTTAATTAACAATCAACCGTAGTGCATTCGTGCATCGAGGAAGAATCGAATAATCGTTATTTGTTCGATAAACATTTGTTTTGCAGACAGAGTACGTTTGTAATGGCGGCGTGCATACAAGAGTACATTTGCAATGCAAATCTATGAGAATGCGCATCCCTTTCGCGTTCCGAATGGCTCGCCCTGTGTCCGACATAACGCTATCTTTATTATTATTCAGATAGATAAGGCCTCAGTTTTGACAAAATAGGACGAGTTCTGCTTGAACGAGGATTCAAGTTTGATGACGCGTTTTTTAGTTTGTAACAACACATTTCAGTATATTTATTCTTAAAAATCAATATAATAAATTTTAAATGTCCCCAATGATATATAAAATATTATCAGTGGCTTCATTACATGTAGTAGGATAGTTTAATAAATGATTATACTATCACGCTATTTTTAGCAGGATTACTTTAAAAATATTTATAGTATTATCTCTCTCGTAAAATATAGGTGTTTAATGAAATATTCAAGACAATAATTTCGGTTTTTATAAAAAAAAAAACTCAATTATGTGTATATTTGTATGAAAACGCTTTGTCATCTTTGAATCTCAGTTTCGAGGCAGAGCGAATCACTCGATTATTTCATGAGAAGTCACCAATTATTATTGTATTTCTTAAGGGTCCGCGACGCAGGGAGAAATTGCAATGAAATTACCGATACGTTTCCCTTTGTGATTACGGATCGTACGTGGCGTACGAGGAATGCGCGAGACAGGAAGGCTGGTGGCACGCGTAGAGCGGAATAATCTCTCCGTGTGCACTTCGTTAATTTCGCGTTAATTTCACGAGCTTCCGCTTCGTTTCCAAGGAAATAGCCGGATTGGCGCTCTTACATATTCGTTTGGAATTCCAAGTTAAAGTGCACGAAATTCTCATACCACCGCCCGTGCGTATCCGCGACGCGATTTCGTCAAATCGTTCAACACAAGATTCAGCATTCGACGTGCGTGAAAGTGTAATGTCTTGACGGCGAGGTCCTAATCATCGTTAACATTCTTCCTAACAAAGAAGAAAATTGTAAATTTTAATCTTTGTGAAAGTGTCCGGGCAATTACGCCTGCACGGCGACGTTGTTTCGTTTCATGTTCATTAAGTCGCTGTGTGGCGAGTCGAGGGAGAAAATATCGTCTTTCTGTTTCACCTTTGAGATGTGTTCACGCGCATGCAATATTAGGCGACGAGGTTTAATTGTATTTCTATGTAAAGAAATTAGCGCGTGTGCGGATCGAAGCGATCAAGGATATATTGGCAAAGATGTTTCTTTTTTTGTTTCTTTTCGAATTGTCACTTCTAAATTGCCCTTTCGTTCGCTTCATCCTCCGCTAGTTACAATCTCATTGTCTCGTACGCGCATTACTTTTCTCTACTGTATGTAATAGGAAGGATGAATTGTATGTTCATGCGTATTCGAGAGGCAGAATAGATTATGACAGATGCAGAAAACTACGAGAATGCGGACGAGAGCGCAGAATAGAAGTAAATTCGAGAAAAAAAAGATGTATAATTCGATGGGTCCTGTGCAAGTTTTTGGTTAAATTTGCGATGTCGTCGACTTAGATTGAATTGTAAAACACGACGACGCGAGCGCGAGATATTTTAGACGATAAGTTCTAGATGAAGTGAAATTTTTAGCAAGCTATTGTCGATTACTATTATCGCTATCAGACATCGTGATATATCTAGCAATTTGTTAATTGGGATTTAATGAGAGGTGCGAGATGTATGAGTATAATCGTGCACTTTCGACACGAGAGAGAGAGAGAGAGAGAGAGAGAGGGGGGGGCGGGGAGAAAAGAGAGAGATAACGAAAGCGATCTCAGATAAAATATGCTTTTACCCGTTCGAATTTACGGTTCAACCTTCGAGATTGCTATTTTAAATGATTTGAAAGCCAAAATTAGATTTTTTTGTTTGCACCAACTGATTGTTCAGTAAACTGCTCAGCTCACAAAATTATTAATCAAACGCTAAACACTCGAAAGAGAAGAAGTAGAGATAATTTAATTAGTTCAGCTTAAATCATTGTGTTATCGAATTAAGAGCAAATTTTGCAAATGACTTTTTTCAAGTGCCGACTTTGAATAAATAAAATTCCATTCTTAGCAATCTCATCGTAACGCGAGACGCTGGCTTGATCGTTCCATCGTTTACGATTGTCGCAATCTGTAACGTCAGCAGACTACGTGGTGAATCGAAACCGTGCGAAATGTTTCAAAGTCCATTGCAAAATACGAGCAAGGAAGCAATAAGATAATGGAAATGTGTTAGAAGCGGAGGTAACGGTGAATTAAAGTCATAAGATCAGTTATAAGAGAATAAATTCGAAGACATATCTTTTATTTGCTCACAGAGTGGAGAAATGACGCTAGCAGTCAGTATGATTAAATTGTTTTTCTTTTTTCCTAATTTCGAGAATTGAACTGTTTTTATGAATATATTTTTAATTGCCAAAAGTTTCCGCTTCGCGTTTTCAATATACCATCTTGATTTCATTACGACGGACTTTTGAAACAAAACGATCACTCGAACAGGTATGTTGCTCGTACGGTATGTGCTCTCACACATCCTAAAGGCGCGAGATCAAGCTGGCGACTGCCGATTAATCTAGTCACGTTGAGCCGTGTGTCCGGCCGGGGAATGATCGCCGATCCATCGATTCGGGTAACAACCAATATCGTCGTCCTTTGATGAATTTAGCGGCGGAAAGGATAAGACTCTCTCTCTTAGGCGCAATGTGATTTCCCAAGGTGTTCCAAAATAACTCGCGTACTCCCTCCGGCGAAATTGCGACGCGGAGCGGAGCGGTTGCAAGCGGGGGTCAAAAGCGGGGTCCCCCTTTTAAAAGCTTTCGTTTCTAAGCTGTAATTATAATTGTACTGTTGATAAGATCGGTATGTCTAGTCCCTCGCGGTGGAAGGGAGGTCGAGAGCTTCGCCAATGTCCCTCTCGCGAAATCCACCCTGTAAGTCTTTCGACCAATTGATCCTAATTTTTTTTCCCTTATCTCTTCCTCTCCTTAAGTCACCCTTGGCGTGGATCTGTCTGATCGATTTGACTCGCGATTTTGCATCTGTTAATTTGTCTGCGAATTTCTACTTGAATTGAATTTCATCATCTCTAGCTTTTTAGTTTTACTTTAATAAGTTTTAATCAAATGGAAAATTTATGTTATATGATAAATCAATCAAAGAAATGATAATGAAGTGAATCAAAGAATTTTGTAAACATGTACCGATTGATGCAAAATTGCGAATCGAATTAAATGTGTGAAATCACACTAGGGATGATGTCTCGCCGTTGTTCGTAGGTACGTTGCGTCCTGCAGTCAGCCCTCCTACTGTTGCGTGCTAATAAGGAAAACTCGTAACATGAAACTTATTTTTTACAATCATTTTATGCTCGCAAAAAACAAAAAGAATTGGTGAGTTATATGTTACGAGCTTGTCTTATCAGTGCGAGAGAGTTATCCGAGAAAGTGTGTGAGAGAGTGAAAGAGAGAGAAGTGTGTTGCAGAGGAGCATGACAAAGGCAGAAATCACTGAACTTTGTACATATATTGAAAAATGCACTTCCATATAATTCTGACATAAAAAGTCAGTCGAAAAAAAAAACGTTTATGAAGTTTTGTCTTTCAATTCGTTACAAGATTTGTCTCGATAGTTTAGTGTTCATTATAATTAAGTATATATTTTTTTTTATAAAATACATAAAATAGACCTTTATAAAACATGTATCTATATACTTTAACAAATATATAAATATATACTATATATTTACATACACATATAAAGGTCTACTTTAAAAAGTTTATGTATATACATATATTA